AACCATTCTAGTCGTTTTTTCCTAATAAAATAGAGTATGTCTGGTTTATTATATAAAGAGTAAAGACTTTACATTTTCGTTACTTCTTCTTTCGTATGTCTGTGTTTCGGGATTGAAGATTGGTCCATAAATGGTTCGTAACACTTTCCTTTCGAATTATCTATTTATATATTACATTTTTAAATTATTACATTATTGCAGGCCCTATTTTTATGTGCACCACGACACACAATGTGCACTACGAATATACAAGTGTGCACTACGATTTAAACGTGTGTGCACTACGGTCTACAAAACAAAATTGCCAAGTCAGGGATCGGCATGTAAACTTTCTTGATTTTGAATTTTTAGAAATTTGTTAACTGATTTAATCACACCCAAGCGGTATAACAATATGAATCCAGAAAAATGTTGGCGTGAACAGCCCCACAAAAAAAAAAATTTCATTTAGTGAGATAGATCTCCGAAACCGGAGAGCGGATTTCGTTGTTTTTGGTCTTGTTAGATTCACATTGGTTAGGAAAAGTGCAGTGAAGATTTGCAGAACTTTATCTTTAATAGTTAATTTACCACAGAACATTAAAAAAAATTAAAACAAATTTTATTGGACTTTTTTGATGTTTTTCATCTTTACAGCTTTGTAATGAATTAACGATTGGAGATAAAGTTCTGAAAATGTTCACTGCAATTCTCCTAGCAAATGTGAATTTAACAAGACCCCAAACAACAAAATCCGTTCTCCAGTTTCGGAGATCTACGTCGCTAAATGAAAGTCTAGAGAAAATAACTCTTTTTTTTTTTTATTTGTGAAAAATTAAATAATTAAAAAAAAAAAATTTAATTCCACATTTAGTGTCTACCTGATAATCCCTTTTTAATGAGTTATCAACCAACTTTCTAGCTAGGTATCATAGTTTAGGAGAAAAGTTAAAAAATAGACATTTTTGGGGCTGTTCACGCCAATGTTTTTATGGATTCAAATTGGGTATACCGCTTTGGTGTGATATCAAATCTCTCTTATTAATATTTTATTTTAATGCTAGCTAAATTACCCACCTATTCATCATTACTGAGTTACATTTTTATTATTTTCCTATTTAACACAAATTCATGAAGTTTTCAAAGTTCAGACTTTTTTCATTTCAATTACCATACTTACTTGATGAAAAATCAAGAAAGTAATATGCATTGTTATGATTTTAATTACCTATTAAAAAGTTAAGTTAAGGTTTTTATTATTATATTATGCTATTTAATTTTTATGATTCTTATTAAAAGATAAGTATTTTGTCGTTTTATTGAATTGCATTGTTAAATTATTATATACATATGGTAAATAATATATATATATGTAATATGTATTATGGAATACATTTATTTTGCTAAGATGGTAGCGAGAATAAAATGAAACGTGCAGTCCGAAATTTTACAAATAATAGGGCCTGCATTATTGGTTCAGATAATGTTTTGTATAATGGTTCCTCTTCCGTCCCTCGATTAACTCGAAAAAAAAAGAATACATTTAAAAATTAAAAAAAAAAGGATTTTTAGTATTTGTTGTTATAGCATCCACGGAAATACATAATCTGTGAAAATTTCAACTTTCTAACTTTCATGGTTCATGAGATACAGCCTGGTGACAGATGGACGGACGGACAGCGGAGCATTGGTAATAGGCTTCCGTTTTACCATATGGAACCCTAAAAATGACCGTATACACCAAATTATTTTCAAAATATTTTGACTATTTTTTTTAACTATTTATACTTTATAGGTTAGTATCAGGAAATTTTGTTTCTTACTAGTTATTATATAATTTTATTTCGATAAAAAAATGTTCACCCAGTCAAAAAACTTGAACATTTAATAGAAGGTTCCTTATAATTTGTAAGTGGAAATTAAAAAAAAAGTTATATATCGACAGTCGACATTCCTGAACATATATTATATGGATATTTATTATTGTTCCTATGTGTCTTATTAGATGGCTTCCTACAATTGAAAATTATAGAAAAAAAAATTGAAAATGTCCGTAAACAGCTCAAAACGAGTCAAAAATATTTTCAAAGTTTTTATGACATGTATCTAAGGTCATTTTTCTTCAAGTTACACCAAAAACCGATTTTGTGTAAAAATTCCCGTTTTCCCATAATTTTTATTTTATTTTCTAGGTGCTTTTGAAAACTAGCTTTAGTGCTTTTGACCTCCAATATCACCAAATATATTCACTTTCCAATCGAATAAGATAGGTACCTATACTGTTAAAGAAAATCGAAGCAGTGTTACTGCCCCAAACGGTGATTAAATCAAAATTTTAAAAATTAAAAAAAAAAACCGTTGTGAAATCAAAACATTCATCGCGGCTCTCAGAATTTAAAAATTGAAAATTGAAAATGTCTATAAATTATTCAAAACATGAGTAAACATAATTGTTTAATGTCATCAATCATCATGTATTAATTGAAAATAATAAAATAAACATTTAATGACAATTTCAAGGACCTACCCATCGCCATTAGTTTTTAAATAACAACGAAATAAGAAAATCGTCGTTGAGAATTTGTTAATTTACAGTTGAATATCCAATGCCTAACTTCAAATGCACGTAAAAAATTATTGTAGATTTGAGCATATCAACTTTTATACAACACACGAGTTATGAGGGACCTAAGTGAAAGGGGTGGTCCAAAACTCAAAAGTTACAGATTCAAAGTACTTTTCTTATTAATTGCAAAGAATATTTAAAAAAAAAAATGAGTGCTGTCATGTGACACCCGGTAGAAACGAAGTTTATTTATAGTTTACAAATACATTATACATTTTAGTGGAACCATTCTATATAAAATAATTATTTATAATTCAAAATTAAACATAAAAAACAGATAGGTAGGGTATTAGGTAGGTACCTACCCTAATACCTATGTTCATATTTAAAGCAGGGACTGGAACTTTTATTATTTTATCGGTTTGGGTTAAGGTTTCCGTTCTCAAAAATCTGAAAATTTGGTTTCAGTTAATATCGACTTTAACTCTTTTTATTTTATTTTTATCAATTAAGTACCGCATAAATAATCAACATATTAAGAACCTATATTTAATGACAGGTATTTGTAATTAAGTGTACATATTTCAGATTTTAGGTACCTACCTAATATAATATCATTACGATTTAATATTAGCACTAAAACTATAAAAAATATACTATTATATTCAAAAATTTACTGAGTATAGAAGTTTCACTACTTATTATATCACTATATCACTCTATCACATCAAAATATAGGTATCGATTGCTAAAGAAATGTATTTATGGGTTCCGGTCTAGTTTCGGTATCAAGATTTTCAAAAGGTTTCGGTCCAAAACCGGTCTATTAACCACCATAATATCACCATATAATATATTAATACGGTATTATACGAAAAAAAATACCGTGCTTAACATCCCTATTCTAAATCTCTGTTAGAGATCGGTCAGTCCACACTTAAAGATTGCTGCTTTAAATTCCAAATAAACCCAGAATAATCAACGTTTGAACATTCCGAAATTTCAGAATATTCTATCTAAATTTTTAGTGTTTTTTTTTGGGGGGGGGGGCGGGGGTGAAATTGGGAAAAGTGGACTGACTAATCTCAAGTAGACATAACGAATTCAAATCTGTTTTAAAAAGTATTATCGTATTACTAATTCGTTCAGTATGATGGAATGAAAATTTGATATATTGGCTAAAATAACGGTTTAATATATTATAAAAAAATAGTATTTCGTAAGGAACGTTTTTTTCCTGACTAGCTCCGCATCGTGCCATAAAAAACTTAGTTTCAATTAGGGAAAAATCGGAATTGCATAGTTCCATCTTAAAAATAATTTTGCTAACAAGAATTATAAAAAAAAATTGTTAATTCCACAAATATTTTTTTTCTGATTGTCTGTTTAAATTTTTAATAAATTGGATATTCAAATGTTATAAATTTATAATAATTGTGTAAAATAATGATCTCAAATTAAAAAAATATTTTAGTTTCCTTAAATATATGAAATTCAAAAAGTAATAATTAAAGTAACATTCCACTTAAATTCAACTTAGATTGTCATAATCTATACCTACTCAATAAAATTTTGAAAATATTTAAGCTGTTACTTAATTGGTATTTTAAATTTTAAGTAATGATGAACATTTATAACCTAGTCAAAAAGATTAATAAACATTTAATGCAAGGTCTTCCCACATACATAATTGTTCTCATAGTATACAAAAATATGTGAGCATAGCGGTAGTCTGGTAAATTACAGATTGATCCAAGTAGATTGGATAATATATATAAGTGCATACCAAACATTTTTAAAATAGATTTGTACAACTTTACCCACTATACACCAAAGGCCAAAGCAATTTACCAGACATGTTTTTATGTAAGATTTCTGATTTATAATTTATGTTTAAAAATATTGATTGCAATGTGCTTTTTTGAATGGCAACCTCCGCCTCTCCTTTAGATAAACTTGTTAGGTGGGACAACTCATTAACTTATCTAGACTACTGGTAACAAAAATCAAAAACCAGTTTGATTACATGTGTATGACCATTAAAATATTTTTGACACTTCTATAGGACATTTAGGATGAGATTACTTTAAAATTTAAACTTTTAAATACTGACAGAAATTTCTAAAATTTCCGTCTATGTTATCGAGTGAGAATAAACGGTTAAATCTGTAGAGTTTATTAGACCAAAAAAAAACTTACAAAAGCATGGTTGAATGTATTATTGATTAAATAATTTATTTAATAATAATATGTAATGCAAACATTTATAAAGTATTTTTTGATGCAAGTCAATCAATATAATATTATTATACATGGAAGATTTTTTTTTTTTAGTCTGGATTCAGAGTTCTTGTAAATTCTTGAAAATAAAAAAATAGTTTTATTTAAAATTTATAAATTTATCTAAAAATAAATATTGATAGATGGCTATTTCAAGTCATGTTGAATTTTTAGTCTAGTTGATGGCTGATTCAAGCCTTGTCGAATCAGCAGTCATGATCATGCTTTGTTTACTAAACAAGTCAATAGTCAGACTAGATAGTAAAACTGGTATTGAACGTTGTTGACCCAGGTGTAAGGCTATCATTTCTTCAATAGTTTTTGAAAAAGGAGTTTCTAGCAAATGCATTGAACCTTCATTTAACTAAAAAAATAAAAATATATCAGTTAATTTTGTATTATTCACTATGTGTGCAATTAAATATTTAAATTTTATCGATCATTACATAAAGTTCTATTTCTTTTTTCCATTTTAAAAAATGTAATCTAGCCAAAATATAGTTATTACTTATTATACTCCAGGATCACATAAAGAACCTCCTGTAATCCAGAGCTATTATTTCCTATTTTTTTTTAACTTTATTAATTACCAAATGGTAGTTAATTGTATAGTGATGAACTGCCTGGACACTGGACAGTCCTTTATACTTCCTTTTAGCTAATTATTCCAGTCTTCCACACAGTGTCAAATAAACCTATTGTTTCGCCAAATAAATCCAATACTAGCGACGGAGATTCCCTTAACGTCGATATATCTCTTTGACTTATGTCAAATCAATACAATTATAGTTAAAGCGCTACACTAAAAAATATATTTAAATATTTCTGTTGTCAATCATATGGTCAAACCAATGTTTATTGCAACCACCATCCTAAGTGTGTTTGTTGTGATGAAAACCACAATTTAACGTCTTAACCCAGTCTTAACCACCTTGCTTCATACATTAATGATTTAAAATAACTAATAAATCCATTAGTCTCATTCCTCACCAGTTGTAGACTTATGGAATTATTCCTAAATATCAATAAAACATTAACATCTTTACTATACTTTTATGGAACACTACCTAAATTACCAATAGACAAAACCTATATTTCCTCAGGTCAAACAATTCATAGCTTTTCCGTTAAACAACCTCCTGGTAAGATGACCTCGGTCACAAATAACTTAAAATAACGAACCTCTAGGCCATGATCTTATCACAAAATAATCGTCGTTTTGACTAATACTTTACCGAAGGACTGTTGCTGTCTAGCTATAAAATACAACAAAATTATTCCTCAACATACTGAAGTCAAATATCTTGATTTTATACTTGGTAAAAACTGACAACACTCGTCCCAAATGTAAACTTAAGCGGCTCAATTCTCATCTACAAATTTTAAGACCATTCCACCAGTGTCGGCCCGGCACACAAAAGGCCCATGGATCAGTTTTTTTTTAAGGAGTCCCATCATGAAGTACAAAATTTACTTGACATTATGGGAAAAATGCCCACTACCTTTTTTCCTTTAAATATAAATTTATTAAAATTCTGATTCATAGAACTTTTAAGTAGGTATACCTAAAGACGATATATTATTCAAATTTCGGATATTTTGTTTTCTAATATTAGAATGTCCTGTGGCTATACAAACTTCTATTTTTAAAATGATAATCTCCTTTTTACTGCAAATTATTTAGCAGATAACGTCCTTGTAAATGTAGATGTATCTAAATGTACATTAATTTTTTTACTTTGTTAAAAATAAAAAAGAGGATTCCTATTTTAAAAACAGAAGTTAGTATTGTAAAAACATTGTTCTTAAATGGTATAAAAAATCTCAAGTATTCAAAAATCTTCAAGAGTATATAGAAATTCTAAAAATCAGAATTTGAATATAATATGTCCAATTTAAGTAAACAAATAGGACGAGCATAGGTACTAAAAAAATCACTACATACAATATGAAAGCTAAGCCTAATGAGAGGAATCATTTGTTAAGTAATAAACTATGAAATTATTGAAATATTTTTAACTGCAAAATAATAAATAATAATTGTTAATTACATAGAAACAAAATTACGAAAATGAAATTATATTTATATTGCCTATAGAGTTTTAACTTTGTGTGACAATATTATGTATACATAATATTATTCACGTAAATTTTCATAAGTAAATGTAAAATCTTTATCATTGTTTAATATTTAATTACATATACATATAGGTATAAGGAGAAGTATAGTATTATAAATCATACATATTTTTGTATGCAACATATTCATGATCGATGAATCCAACAGCGGAGCCGCTGCAGGGTGGGTGAGTGGGGCCCTCGTGGCCTCGTATGAGCCCATTGTTTTTAAGGAGAGATATAAAACCTTACTTAACTTGCAGTACCTACCTAGCACAATTAATCCAAAAAAACCTCCTCCTATTTATTACTTGAAACTTGTACTATTATAATTGTGCCCTGCTCACACTATAATGATAGGCAAGCATCTGGGCCCTATAAAGAAAAATTGCGTTCGGTTAAATATATCGATAAATACTTTATGGGGTCCATACTCCCTATATATACCAGGCACACGCCAAACAAATAAAAAAAAAGCGGCTAAGTGGATTTCGCTCTGCTGTACAGTAGATTACAAGTGGATCAATGAATTATGGATTTTATTAAACTTGTACGAGACCTTAAAAAAATCAGAGGGGCCGCCCTGGCCCAACGGCCATGACCAGGCCCACACTGCATTCCACCGATCTAATTTAAACATTTCATACCGCCTTCTAGTATAAAAATTCCTTATAAGCCTATCTGATAATACAGTATTCACGGTATTTATTACAAATTATCTAACGTCAAGACAACCATTCGTCTTAGATTTGTTCAACACTAACAACTTGCTACGCAGACGTAATCATAAAAAATACAAAAAAAACACCACCTCTTTATTGTACTCCACACTTAACTTCAGAATAACATCATCACAACAGACTCATCTTCTCAACTTCAACCTAATACTCTACTCATGCAATCCAAACTAGCATCTAAACCTGCTCGGAGTTTAATAAATAAAATAAAATTGTATAACCACAGTTCTTAATAATACATGTTCAGGTCAGGTTAGAAAGGTCTGTGTGCCCCTTCATGTATTTTATGTTACATAAAATTTAATTATCGCACCTACATATTGCAAAAAAAAATAAAAATACTTGATTACTTATAAAACAAATAAATACTTGGAACATTAAGTTGTCTTCCTCATGAAAAGCAAATTGACTTGTTAGTCTATACATATTATTCTGAAGTCCATCAACCTTAAAACCTAACAATGTGTAAACGGATTCTCTAAATTCTTGACTACTCTTTTTAAAAACTTCACGTAGCCTTTGATTTTGAATTTCTTGAGATTTTAATTTTTCTTTAAGCCCTAAATGTAATAAACGTCATGAATTAAAATTTATATAACTTGAAAAAAAAATGTACTAACCTTCTACTTCCTGAGATGCATTTGTTTCAACTCTATTTTCTACTACTTGTGTCAGATTCATAGAAATACCTTCCTGCATAGCTTTAATTCGTTCCTTTAACTTTTCTATTTCTTGCTTAGCTTTGGCTAATTCATTTTGATAATGATTAAATCCTTCGGATGCGGGATTCATTCTACAAAAAAACATTTAAAAGAATTAATTAGATAATTGTTGAAACTTAGTATGGGATGAGTGATAAGTGGTACATACTTGAAATGTAACACTTTAGTTTCTTTTAAATTAAAATCTCCTTTCAAAGCTCTATGATCTATTTGATCATTTAAATCAATACATTTGGCTTCCAATTGTTTATATTTATTAATAAGTTCTTCTTTCTCTTTTAAAAGTAAATTTTTTTCATCTATCCACCGTTTATTATTATCAATTGGCACATACATAGATGGATCTGTCTCAATCTGATTCATACGCAATTTGTAACCATTTATAGCTTTTTCTAATACTTCAATTCTAGTATCTTCACCATTTATATTGCCTATGACAGTGACTTCTTTTTGAAACGAATCTAAAAGTTCTCTCAAATCATTGCGCTCCTAAAATATTGGTTTATTAATTAAATTTATACTATAATTGTTTATACAATTTATAAATACCCATGTAATAATGTAGTTTTGTTTCTTTAACCGTTTAATGGTTAATTCATTTTTGTTATTATTATTTGTTTCAATGATTAGTTGTTCTCTTGCTTTAAGCAACATAACTTCCATCTGCTTAAGTTTTAATTCCAATCGAGCAATACTATAAAATATATTATGAATTATACTCACAGACAAATATTGTATGAAAATAAATAAAAATAATTCTTTACTAACAGTAGATGACAATAATGGACAAAAGTTAAATATTTTAACAACATTTTACCTGGTTTGTAGTTCTCCTTTCTCATTGACTAATAATAGATCTTTTTTCTTTAGATTGTCAACATAGTAACGCAAATATTCTGGATAACACTGAGTTTCAGTAACATTTTCACAGACTTCTCGGCAAACATCTATCCATGTTTTCAAACGATCTTCACTAACTGCTAAACTTGATCGTAATTGCATAGCTTCTTTTTCAATTAACTCATGTTTGTTTAATTTACTTTCGAGAGTAGCAACTGTATTTTCCAAAATTTCTGTTTGCTTTACATCATTTCTAAGAAATTAAAAAAAAATATATATATATATATATTATTTTGAATTTTATAACATTTGATTTGTTCACAATAAACTGTAAAAGTAAATTGTTACCTGTAAATAGCTACTTCTTCTCTTAATGAAATGAGTTCATTTTCCATAGAATTAAACCGTTTCAATTTTTCTCTTTGGGCGTTAACTACCATAGCACTTTCTTGTAAAGAAGCTAATTCATTTTCCAAACACTAAAAATAAAAATAATTAGTCTCGGGGAATTATTAAAAAAAAGAACAAATACTAACCTATGTAATAAAAAAATATAAATTAAGCTAATTAATATGTTCCAACAATAAGGTATAGTTACAAATACCTAACTAAAATATGAACACGTACAAACAAATAAAAAATAACCTACATTATATAAATTATTTATATTTTGTTTTACAATAAATTTTTTTAATTACTTTAATTCTTTGATTAGCAGTGTTCATTTTGACTTGGTCATTTTCCAATGTATTAATTTCAATTTGTTTTTTTCTTAAATTGCTGGTTAATTCTTCAATGTACTTTTCATTTGACCGTAAAGTTTTTTTTAGTTCATTTAATTCATAATCGGTACAATTTCTTGATGCACTTTCATTTTGGTATTTTGTAAGCTCTAAAGTCACCTATAAATATTGTTTTTAAAAATGTTTAGTTTAATAATAGATATAATTAACATTTTACACTTTTACTTGTAAATTATGGACATTATTTGGTAAATGGGCTATTATGTAATTTATTATATAATTTGAAGTCTTGAGGATTTTTTTTTACAAAATTAAATTTTAATTTACAAATCAAAATAGACATTTTTTGGATCAGTGATTTATAGACCATAAAATAACAAACAGTGGCATGGCTAACCATTTTTCTTGTTGGGGTTGACAATAGTCTATTCATATAAGACCCACCAAGAATCACCCAAGTTTACTTTTGACCATATTAAAAGAATCTAATCCTGCAATTACACTACTAACTAAATTCATGATGTTTTCACAAACTTTTGTCTGGTGGACAGGATCACCACTTCCAAAAACATCTTGGGTCATGGTACCTAAAATCTATTTAGAAGAGTATATTGATAACAAGGTACATGACACATTATGGTGTCATTCAGCACTCGTGAATGGTTCTAGTGTGTGATCCATAAGAAAAGTATTTATGTATAATAATGTATACTATATTTGTACTGAGTTATACTACTAATAAATAATTATACTAAACAGTATTATACTATTTTAATTTTAAATAACAATGTCTAATTTAAAATTAAATAAATAAGACTATAAAAATAAAGATTTTCAAAGTATGGTTAATTAAATTTCTACCAAAAAGTGTACTAAGTTATAAGAATTATAATTCAAATATTTACGCTGGTTAGTTTATCTTCGAGTTCCTTATTTTCTTTTTCCAGATTTGATGTATAACTCCGGTTTTCTTCCATTAAGGACTCAAGTTTTTTCATTAAATTATCATTTTCTTCTTTTAAATTTGATTTTTCGTATCGGATTTCTTTAAGTCTGTTATCCAACTGATCAATCTAAAATCATTTAAACAGAATGGTAAGATATATAAACAAATATTTTCTTTAAAATATTTCAAACCGTTAATTTTGATTTATTGATGTTGTGTTCTAAAGCAGACTTTTCTTTTTCAAATAAAATATCAGATTCTTTTTTAAGGTTGAAAAGAGTCTTATTTCTTTCTTGGAGTGAAGCAATTTCTGCACGAGCATTAATCAACTCTTGTTTTATGCGACGAGATTCCCATGGTGAAGTTATGGGTGCTGAAAATACAACATTTTTATTAATAACAATAAAAGTTTTTATTATTTATATGTTCAAACATACTGAGTATAGATTCTTGTAGATCAGGACTGCAAGATCGTCGTCGTTTATTTGATAGTAACAAAGAATCATTTGAAGTCATCATGCTGGTATCATATCTCATCCCCGATGACTTTGTCCGATTATTATTCGATCGCAAATCGTCCAATATTTTAATTACAAATGTTTGATCATTATCTTTAGATTTATTCATTATGATTATGATTTAGAAGTAGAGCTGGTAATAGAATTAACAAAACTATTTGCGTTCAATTAAAAGTATTAAATTTTTTATTGAAAAACCATAATGTAGTTTAAAATTATCGATATAATAATTATCAAAACAAAAAACGTAAAACAGGAATAATAAAATGAAAAAAAACTTTTGAACAATATTTAATAAACGTCAAACAACATGATAACTTAATAATTCATCTTTAAACAAGTGTGATCGACAATAACGATTAATGTCCATTCTCCGGAAGAAACAGTCTGCCGATTAGCAACTACTATTAAAGACTATTAAAGTGTTAAAGTGTTTACTAATATTACTGTTTACTGTTAAGCGGTTCGATCGGTTCAGCCTTAGTAGTTTAGACTTTAGAACTCAACTCAAGTAGTCAAGTACCTACTCAAGTAGACTGAAGATTGAAGAACAGCAAGAACTGCCGACTGTATGTAGCACGATAATATGTTATGTTATTATAATTTATCAGGCAGGCATGCAGCTTATACAACCATAGAACAGTAACCATACATTATACAACATAATATACAAAACACAATAGTAAAGTAAACTGCTTTGGTAATTTCGTATAGGGATGTTACACTTGAATTGTACGACATTATATCGGATGTACAAATGTACAACACATCCGAAAATCACGAGCGCTTCCCCGCAGTAAGGCATATTTTGGCTGGCTTATCAAATAATAACGTTAACATAGAATTTAAAAAAATATAAATATATGTAAAATTCAGAATTTTCTAATTTTGATACATAGAAATGTATTATTTGTAATATTGTATAATTTTTAGTTTCTTTAAGCCCCGTTCACACGATCAAATAATTTGTCAAATATTTGATGTATGTCAAACTTCAAATATTTTAGAAATAGTTCTAAAATATTTGGAGTTTGACAAATTATTTGATCGTGTGAACAGGGCTTTAGACCAGCGGTTCTCAAACTTTTTAAATTTGCGTACCACCAGCTACACCGTTTCCCAGTTACAAAAATTTCGGGAAACTCACTGTTCTCACAAGTTATGGCATATCAATGTTGCAGCGATTACGCGTGTATCGGCACTCGTCGCTACGCTCCTCGGCGCCGTCGCTCCGCTCCGCAAATCGAAAATATCCCCCTATTTGCTGTGTGAACTACCTCAGGTAAACCTCGGTTTTCCTCAATATTGTTTCTTGTTTCTGAGTATATTTATTCCCAGCGTGGTCACTCGCTCGTCCATTCAAAAGTACCTATATTTTTTAATATTGACAACTTTGAATTGCCATAACTTTTGAAGTTTCCCGAAATTTTTTCAAATACTTGAATTAAGCGTAAAAAACCAATTTTATTATAATTATTATTTTTAGATAGGATCAGAAAAAATTTAACTGTTGTCGCAGATTAACTCTATGATAACGTTATTATATTGTGATAAGCCAGCCAAATGCCTTACTGCGGGGAAGCGCTCGTCGAAAATCGGAGGGACTTACAATATTCATTCAGGAACTTATCGAGAAAATCATAGATATATACAATATACTAATATATATCTGTGACCTGTGGGGAAAATATATTTTGTGATACAGCCATACAGGCATAGATTATCTATGGATATGTATACAGGACTCAAGACTCAACGGAGCATTATTGTTGATGCCCATTGCCCAGTCGTGTTTATCCCCAGACGGTCAGACCTCCATTACGGCCTGCGAGAAGCGCCCAAGCGGAAACGCACTATTTCTTTTTTTTTATATATTTATATAGTTTCTATATAATATACGGTCATTGGCGCAACTAGGGGGGTGCATAGGGGACTTGTGCACCCCCAAAATATAAAAGAATTAATCTATAATATTTTGATTATTTTGAAGTAAAAATTATCAATAAATACAAAAATATGGTACCATAGTGTATGTTGAGGAATATAATAAGTGGGTACTTCAGTACTTCACTATTATGTTCCAACATTCCTAGCTATAACAGTATAACATAATATTATTATGAAATAATCTTTAGCTTAGGTAGGTATTTAATGTTGTATTGAACAGTTACTTCGTTATAACTTATTTATGTAACATTGATTATACCTAATAATATTTTTAATTGCTTATAAAAAATGATTGGATAATGCTATTCAGGGCCGGCGCTAGAAATATTACCCCCCCCCCCCCCAGTTGATAATAATAATTAAAATATAATATTATTATAAATAAAATACGAATTTTTGTGCTATAGAAAATAGAAATCATCCCATACTCCATAATATTACCCATAGACTATAGTATATACTATATAGCCAAAACGGCCGTCGTTGCCGAAAGTATTAAATAGACTGCCGCCCGAATAGTACAACGAAAATAATATACGTACATGACGATGCCCCCCCCCTACGCTTTACAACATTTTAAAAATTTTTGCAAACAATTGTAAATTACTTGTAAATTCAATAACCGATTTGTATACACCCCCCTCGGCCGTTGAGTCAAAAATAAGTTTCGGGCGGCCAAGTTCACTCAGCCTCCCGAGTCCCGACTTTGAGTTATTAGACACTTCAGAATAATTGTGATATTTTTACTTTTTTTTTTTATTATTATTCAATATTTCAATACATTTCATTTTTATTAAATATGAATTTGTAACAAATTTAGAATATTTGTTAACAATTGTAATTCAATTCACATTGTTTTATAAAATATGTATTTTTTATTAACATAGTTGGGGGTCATCTTCATGTACGTAAACAATATGATATTATAATATTTATAGGTACGTATGCCCGCTGGGCGCTGACAGTCAATATTTTTATAAGGCAAACATTTTTAAAATTTTCATCCAAACATTTGGACTGTATTATTTTAAATAAAAAATATGTCGGTGTGGAAAAATTGATATAAGTTATATATATCTCAAAAAGTATAAAATTGAGTATAAAAATGTAAAATATTCCCTAAAAACAAAAAAAGACTCAAAATATGGCATTTATATGCAAAATAAAATTTCAAAATTAGCTTTGTGAAAGCATGAAACGTATATTTGTTTCATACTCTTTTATTATTGTGACTTAGCAAAACAAATATGCAAATGCTACAAGTCCTCTGCCCTAGACATTACACAGCAGACCGTCCGTAGCAAGAGCTCGTCGAAAACAATAAATATTTGTGTGTTATTGCAGTAGTACTATAGTGTGTCAGGCAATTGTGTCTTTTTGATTTACACCACACTGAGGTATTTTCGCTGTAACGGGTTTTACGTCTTTTACCGCCGCGATGTTTCTAACAAACTAGACATACCTAATCGTCTATAAAAAAGAATTGTCTCTACTCCGGCCCAAGAGATACGAGAATCCATATATCCAAACGCGTTCGTCTCTGCGCATCTGCATGTTGCCGAATAGTGGGAATGACATCATGGTGGGAGAAAACAGACGTCGCGTATTACTATATCGATGCGCGGTTTACGTATGGACTCTTGTGGGCCGGAGTATATGCATAGTTATATGAATTTATTTATAAATGGGTAACTATTATCGCGGTATCAATGTTATATTCCTACGAATTATGATAGTTCTGAGTTCATTATACAAAATATATGGACAATTTCAGATGTATCTTCAATTATAACGACATTAGATGATGAATATTTCAAATTGCATAGATTGTTAATGCGTATTAAAAGACAAATTAAACAAAAATAATTTTCAGTTTGGCGCCTCTTCCGTGCTGGCGCCATGGGCAGTCGCCCAGGTCGCCCATAGCTTGCGCCGGCCCTGCCTAGTGCCTATAATAAATATTTATTAAATTCCAAATTAATCATATCACAATATCCATTAGGTACCTACTTATAATGTGTTATACGTCAACAACAAGTCAACAAACCCTGATACTATCAAAGTCCATACTCCATACTTCCATAGATATATAATAGTGTACGGTACTTACGCGTTATCTCGACTACCTTGGGTGCACAACCGTGTTATATCGACTACCAAAATATTTCCAAGACTACCTATTATCATCAACCGTGTTATCTCGACTACCACAATTTGGGTTACCACAAGTTATAATAAAGTTATAATAAACAATATAGGACATAGGTAATAATGTTATAATAATAAAACATGTAATTAATAATTATTTACGTTTTTACGGTTATAAAAAATTATTACAAAATAATGTATTTAAAAATCTGGTAAAAATAATATGTATGGTAATTAATAATTTTTTGTGGAGGGAAGTATGTTTTAAGATCCATTAGAATTTGATCAAATGGTGTATCGTCTCCAATGTTTTGTCGCCAAACAAATTCAGTAAGATAGGAATCTAAATGATGACGAGCTGTTCCCCTCTGCTTTTTGTTTCGCCACTTTGCCGATCCCCATAGGCGTTCAATCGTTTGTGTGTGTGCTCCTGTGGTTGGGTCAACAAAATTATAACTGTGATTTACGGTATAGTGATCGAAGCCGGATGATTTTAATAATTCGGTGTTATAAGCACGCCAACAATCTGAATATATCGTGGTACCTTGTTGAATGTTATTTTGGATCGCCAAAAGCAGAGTTCCTGTTTTTCTATCTGGCCCTTTTATTAAAAATGACTCTTTTGTCTCTCGACAAATTCCTCCGAATATCCACTGTTCGGGAAGTACCCCGCCAACGTGGTTTTTTCTTTTCGAAAATAGACTTTCATCGATCTCGACGATTTTCCCCGGTCCACCTATTTTTGTTTGTGGTTTATTTTCAACAGCCATTGCACATACTTCGCGTAGGTAATTATTCCAGTCAATAACTGTATTTAAGCTTAAACCTAATTGTTGCTCGCACCATTTCGCACTCGTCATTTCGTGAGACCACCCATATATAAATCGTACGGCAATCGTAAATGATATTCGTGATTTTGCAAACCAATTGCCATTACGTACATTTACCTTTTTTTGGCATTTCTTAACATTGCATTTCCAAAATATTTCTTTTCCAAAATATAACTTTGCCAAG